CCCAGTACAGGGTCCCCACCTGATATGCTGAAGTACAAGTGCTGAATGGTTTGCAAATGTCGGAGGATCCACTCTCCACAAGCTACAAAATATATAAGCACAAAATATAATCTAAGTACTAAGCTTAAACTGAAAATCTTGAATCTTATTATCTGATATGTCTAGGTTCGTTCGCTCGGCTTTAAAATTATTTTAGGGATTTACGAGCTGATTTGAAAATTTATTGTCTTTGAGGCATACTAGAGTTCTCTGAAATATTTCTAAGTCTTGAATTAAATTCTGACTGGACTTCAATCTGATTGGTTCGGAAAAATACTGAAAATCTCGGTTCACGCTTAAACTGATGTTATGAACTGAAACTCCCGAATCGTCCAGACTGCCAAATTGATTCGACTGAACTAAAATTCTCTTGGAACCGTCTGGATTGGTTTGATTGAACTGGACCGACGACTCACTCGCAGCCAGTCGATCATTCGATTGCCTGTGCAACTCGATTTAACCGGGGTCCGGGATCGACGTGGCAACTCGAGGCTGGCACGAACTTGGCTGACACGGCTTAGCCGATGCACGGGTTTAAAATAGTGCCACGGTCAATGATGCATGGGCGTTCTTGGACCACGGCTAACGGAAGTTTTTGCGTTGACGGTAGGTCGGATGGACGCACAGGCGTTGAACAGAGCGCAGGGGCGCGACTCTGTCAGACTCGGTGGATGGGCACGCACTCGGTGGCTCGGCTTCAACGGTCGGAAGAGAATGAGATAGTTTTGTGGGACGACGATACTCGTTTAGGATATGTGCTAATGCACGTCGATTGATCGGTTAGACTCGCTACGAGGCACACAACCTCAATAGCCTTCTTAGGCTCGATTATGGTCCATCGGCGACTAACCGGCCGACCAACCACATCTCGACACCCAAGGGCTCATTTATAATCTTACGGCGTATAAAATTGTTTAACCGGAACTAGGATTCGACCGATTAAACTCGAATCCAAAATTTACCCGGTTATCCGAACTGAATAAAACTAGGATTTCGACGCTCAAACATTCTAACTCGTTTAAAGTCGATACTTAATAATAATTTTTATGTGATTTATAAGGATTTTACATCCAACAACTGAAGCTAAATCGCAACCGGACTAATACTAAAAATACCACAAAATGAGGCTAATGTCCCAAATTTTTAACCCCATCAAATGATCTCCAAAAATTACGAAACTTTAACCACAACATCATCAATATATATATGATTTATGGTAAAATTTCACGGCCATAATCAACTTCTAACATATTCAACAAAAAATGAGTATTTTTAGTCTGATTTCATAAATCCAGTTCGTATAGCAAACAAACTCCCAAATTCACCAAATTTAAGCCTATGCCTCAAGACATCGAAATAAAAAATATCAAGTTGGTTTCGTAATTTTGGGGTCAGCCTACTATTTATTACAAATTTCTTGTCATTTAACTCAATAAACTCATATAAATTCATATCTTGCTCGAATATTCCCAAACTCATTTTTATAATTAACTAAAATTGTTTTTTAAGGCTATGGAGAAGAATTTTCAGCTATTATATCTCAGATCAGACTCGCAATAAAAATCGAAAGTATGAAGACTACTGAAAATGAGAGGCGCGTTTGTTGGGGCTGCAAACCGGGTCAGGCTCGGGATCTAGTTCGACTCCGAGCTTCTGGGTTTGAGGTGGACGGTCACAGGACAGAGCTCACGCAGGTAGGGACTGAGGTTGGTCGCAGGCGTGATCTCGGAGGTTCGCCAGCGACGTGAGCAGCGACGGCTGTTGTTTAGTATAATTTTGGGTATTTGGTAATCGAGCTACCCGACCTCGAGTCGTTCTCAAAGGAAGACTGTTCGGAGCGTCGTTTACTATCGAGTTGTCAAATTCACAAGACCTAAAAATAAAAAAAATAAATTCCTAAACATTCTAATCAAATGATTGTTGGGATTAATTATAAATACGCTAATAAAATAGACAAAGCAAATTGAAATATTATCACTACAAACCTCTAGCCTCCGAACCGGATCACTAAAGATTACTAAAATGAGACCGAATAACCTTAACTTCCGAAAACGGATCGCTAAGGATAAATGAACATTGCGTCTTAATAACTAAGTCCGCAATAACGATAACATGACGTTAAACATGTTATCTTCGGAATAGCCGAGCTAAAACATGAGTCACGACTTTCCTAATAACGAATTCAACAACACACATTAATAAACACAAAAACATAAACCGAATATCATTAGCCAAAACACTC